ATACATATTTTTCATTCCCTCAAAGAGTCTCTGTAAAGCAAAAAGGCTGGCCAGGTTTCCTTTGCCAGGGCCAGGTATTTCGCTTTCCAGTCTAGATTGTTGAAGCAAACAGACACAGCTGGGTTTTGACTCTCTTCCCCAGGTGAACACCAGGACCAGTTTTAGGCAACCTGAACTCCAGAACCTGGACAGTCATGGCACAATACCTTTTCCTCTACAAACATTATTTCCTTCTCATCTTGAAAGTCTCTTTTTCACCCTACCTTGTAATCTCTTTGCAAGATAATAAATTGCTTTCCTGTCAGTACAATACAACAATGTAACCGTGCATTTCCATAATTGCTATTTGTAGACCCACCCTCGTGTTTCTTGTGGGCTTTTTAACCCCCGCTCTTTTGTTCTGCTCACAGAAGGAATAGCTGGGTTCCCTGCTAAGAAAACCCCCAATGGAATTAGGCTGAAGTGACACGGAATCCAAAAGACGACGTCATCCCTGCCTGTCAATCAGAGGATAAAGCAGGAGGGGCGGAGCAAAAAGGACAGTTAGACAGTTGGAAGAGACAGAGACAGTTGGAATGAGATAGGGATAGAGTTGGAATCAGGGAGAGATAGAGAGAATTAGGGACCACAAGATGTTGAGAAAGTGTTAGGGTTTAGGAATAGATAAAAAGGGGTTCAGAAAAGAAACTGAAAGATTAAAACACACATCTAACAGGCAGAAATGAACTTATAGGTAAAACATGGGAGATATTGAATACCAGTGATTGTTAGTTAGGCATCCTTCAGTCTCGAAAGACTATGGTAGCGTGCTCTGTGTGGAGGACTTGGAACAGTGTCTATTGTCGCTGAGGAGGCCGATTCGAGAGTGACAATCCCTTCCACACTGAAGACAAATCCAATCTGTCCCCTGTCCAGCTCCCTGGTTTTGCTGCTTTTGTGATTTCCTCTTTGCCTCGGCCTGCTGGGCAAGGGTCTCTTCAAATTGGGAGAGGCCGTGATGTACTGCCTGCCTCCAGGCTGAACGCTCAGATGTCAGGGTTTCCCATCGGTTGAGGTCTATTCCTAAGGCCTTCAGATCTCGCTTGCAGACGTCCTTGTATCGCAGCTGTGGTCTCCCTCTGGGGCGATTTCCCTGCACTAACCAGTGATTGAACACATGATTTATTATACATGAATACCTGAACCAGCTATATATTGATTTCCTTTTTTATTTGTTCATTAATAAAATAAGGTTTACTTGAAAACCTGATTCCTAAGTTACATGAGCAACGCCTGTGTGGGGGGGGGGGACCTGAATTGGTATTAGGAGAAATACCTGGTGGCAGCGAAAAGAAGGAAAAAGGCGTGTTTACCTTTGTGGAGCCCAAAGGAAATAAAGGGGCAACAAGGGGGATCGCTACACACATTTTCACACCTCCAAACCCAGGAATGGGGACACCGTGCAGATTCTGAGCATTTTGGCATTTTTTTATTTGTTTTGTTTGATCACCCTTTAGTCCCCCAGTGGGAATCCCAGGCGGTATAAAAATATACGCAATTCACAATGAATTAGGAAATTTCTTGGCAACCATATAAGAAACACATATTTTAAAACATTATATAAAACCTATAAAACAGACTTTAAAAGACCATTCCATCTCAACTGCCTTCTGATTTTCAAAGGCCTGGCAGAGGGAAAGGAGGAAAAAGTCCAGCCGAACCTCCCCCCAAGGGAAGGGAGGTCCACAATCTGGGAGCAGCAACAGAACAAGTCCTCTCTTGAGTCCTCCCCAGGCATCTTTCTGAGTGCAATGGGACCCAGACGGGGACTCTCTCCTGAAGGCTTGTGGAGGCTCACAAGGGGGGAGTTGTAGACTTTTAAATAGCCTCAATGTGAGCCATGAGGAAGGGCTTCTAAGGAGTAAGCCCATTTAAAGCTGTTTGTAGCAGAGGTGGGGGTGTGTATGTGTGTCATTTCTCTCACTGGTTCAGTTCCACCCTGTATGAGAGAATTTAAACTTAAAGGACATTGTTTACAACGTTGTGTCTTTTCGGAAACATCAGAAACCACTCTTTACTCATAATCATTACTGTTTTGTTCATTTTTTTAAAAAATCACCTTAAAGATTCTGAAGAATGGCTACGATTGGGCAAAATAACCCCTCTTCAAATAATAATATTGACAAAGATGACTCCCCGGCTTCCTTCTACAGCTCCAGACATGGCTCCATCCATGTTCCCCCTCTACTGTGCACGCCAAGGCATTAAAACAGGAACCAAACCATCTGCAGAACATCTTTCGTTTCACCTCACATGGCAAGTCCACCCCTTCCATGGTTTGGGTTCTTACGTGATCAAAAACCTCATCATAAGGGGGATAAAGGCTTCCCGTCCCACCTAATTCCTCGCTCAACATGTTCCAATTACAATTCTGGTTGTGGGGGAGTTGCTCGCAAAATTCACAACCGGGCACAGTGTTGTCTAAGCGAAACCTTACTGCACCCCCTGCCAAACAGTTTTCTTTTCTTTTTTGGCTCAAGAATATTTTCCGGCCCAGTGATTTGAAAAAGATAACGGTTCGTTCCATCTTCCTTGGGTTATGTTCGACTGTCTCGTTGATATACTGTAAATGGGGGAATCAGCCGTTATTTACTTGGGATTTCCACTAATGTAACGGGAGGACAGGAGCAAAAATCCTTGTCAGAAAACCCCCTCCGATCCATCTTGATTGAAGATAGGTAGCGCTTCCCACAGAGGGCACAAAACTGATGGTTTCCCGGACGTCCTTCTCCGTCCTCCTGCGCTCCTTGAGTCTCACCACCAGGCAATGTTTCTCCGGGATCAAGTAGTTCTACGGGGAGAGAATCAGCAAATCACAAACAAAAAGTTATCCCCAGGTAGATCACCCTATCCCACCTCTGCAGGTTGGAAGACATCACCCAGGCCAACCCTTGGCAAGGAGTTCCACGAAGCCCCGTGATCAGAAATCCCACATTCCCCTCATATTTGCAGGATCCTGAGGTGGCTGCTGCTCCTCTCTCAGGACTCCACTTACCCTGGGGCAAGGCGGCAGGGCTCTGCGGACAGGCTACAAAGGAAAGACAAGGGAGAAAATCAGTAGCACTGCTTGTGTTTTCAGAGTGTGTTTATTCTCTGCCCCCGAATGTGTAGATTCCCTTATCCTTCGTATTTCCATGTCAGTATAATGTATTCTGCATATAAGTTAAATAAGCAGGGGGACAATATACAGCCTTGTCATACTCCATTCCCAATTTTGAACCAATCAGTTGTTCCATATCCAGTTCTAACTGTTGCTTCCTGTCCCACATATAGGTTTCTCAGGAGGTATATAAGGTGGTCAGGCACTCCCATTTCTTATTTTGTTGTGGTGCACACAGTCAAAGGCTTTTGCGTAGTCAAAGAAACAGAAGTAGATGCTTTTCTGGAACTCTCTGGCTTTCTCCATAATCCAGCGCATGTTAGCAATTTGGTCTCTAGCTCCTCTGCCCTTTCAAAATCCAGCTTGTATTTCTGGGAGTTCTCGGTCCACATACTGCTGAAGCCTACCTTGTAGGATTTTGAGCATAACCTTGCTAGTGTGTGTAATGAGTGCAATTGTACGGTAGTGGAAGCATTCTTTGCGACTGCCCTTCTTTGGGATTGGGATGTAGACTGATCTTTTCCAGTCCTTCAGTGCACTAAGCATTGTTAAATACATTTTAACTATGCTTTCCTTCTCTGCCTAGAAGTTGTTTTCAGAGTCTCTCCCTCAGTACAGCGCAATATGGGCCAAGAACGAGGAACCATTTTCAACCCAATTTCAAAGCATTTTTGGGAGCAAAAGTCACATCCCTTTGGGGGGGGGCACCAAAGGTTTTGATCTTGACCTCAAGGTGAGAGAGATCCTGCAACTTTTCCTTGGGCTTGAAAAGTTCCCACCCTCTGTTGGTTGCATATTCGTCTCCTCCTCTTTCTTCCAGACCATTGGTGGTGGGAGGCCTTTGTGTATGTCAAGATCACCCCAGAAATAGCAGGACCTAGTGGTTGGTGGCTGATTCACCCAGCCCCCACATTGATTGTTACTGCCCCTCTCTCTCCCGCCCACTCTGTCCTAACCCCTGATGTCGGGGCTTCCTTGTGTTGTTGGAATCATTTTAAAAGGCTGAGAGTCACTTACTTTGTTTTTCTTGCCGGAAACATTTGCCTGCGGGGAGAAAACATCACAGATTAAAACTTCCAGAGATCATTTCTAGACCCACCCTCTGCAGAAAAGCAAAGTTCTTCCATTCTGAAAATCCTTCTAGCCAAGGTGCCCGAATATACCCAACTTCTTTCTCTTCCAGTTAGAGAACATTTGGTTATTGATCTCACCTGCATTCAAAGTGTTGACTGTGCCATTAAAAGCCTTCAAAAGATTAAGAACTCAGAGCTCTGAGGAATCTTCTCCCTCCTTTGATATCAAGGAAGTGGGGAATGTTCTTCACTCTTAAGTCCCAGTTACAGAACCCTGAGAAGTCTCACATAGCCTTAGATCATTTTATGGACAAAGGCAATGTGAAAATATTTTAAATAAATAATAAACCAATAAATGTATTCCAGTTTCAAAACTTGGCTGCTCATCAGAACCTCTGGTTCTCCGAGCAGGACTCGGTATTTAATTCTTTAATCTGCATTAATCTTGTTTTCGTTGTTTAACAGACTTCTGTTTTCCTCATTTTACAGGATTTACATTTGATGCATTCTGTTTACATTCTCTGTTTGCCTCTTGCTCTAAGATCTAGGAATATAGAGAAAGTTGTCGGCTTGTTCTGTGTCGTCTAATTGCATCTGAATTAACGGCAAACTTAAATCGGGTATTCAAGGTGCCTGCTGCATTTAAGGAGCGCTTTGACCAGTGTCCCCTCCCACCCATCCACTCTGCTGAGTTTTCAGGGTGAAGTGAGGATTGGGACCCATATCTCTTGAGATGGGAGTTCATCGCTCTATCCACTACACTACCCTTCCCACAGATTAGAACTGTTTTACTCAAATCGATCCGTTCATTATGGCTTCAAACCACAACCCCGGCTGTGGGTCACACTGCTGTATGGCTGCTCTTTCAATACGGCAACTCAAAGAGGTTTTACTGGTGCTCACCCCACAAAAAAAGCTTTTGACTGCCACAAAAGTTGCGCCGTCAGCCATTCCTCTCCTGATCCAAATCAAGACAGGGAGTTAAACTTCCCATGCGAAACAAGTCCAGATTTACTTACAATAAATGGTGGTGACCAACGAAAGTATTGCCATGACTACCACAGAGACGATGGTCCCAAATCTCTGTCGTACAGATGCTGGAAGAGGAAAAGATAACAACAATGCAAGAAATCCTGCCAAAACAGGCACTAGTTCCCTACCAGAGGATGCTTTTACAGTGATACCTCATTAGATGATGACCCCGCTGTACGACAAATCCGCAGGACGGTGACTTTTTGCGCTCGCTATAGCGATTTGCAAAACAATCACTCCTATGGGGGAATTCTGCTTGACAATGATTTGGTCCGTGCTTTGCGGACTGTTTATTCACAAGACGATGATCTTTTCAGCTGATCGTCGGGTTCCTAAAATGGCTGCCCTGTGTTTTCCAGACCCATGCTGATTGGCGCTCGGAAAATGGCTTCCATATGGGTGATCTTCGCTGGACAACGAGGTAATTTCCCCATTGGAAGGCATTAAATGGTTTTCAATGCATTCCAATGGGGAATTGTTTTTCGCATGACGACGATTTCACTTAACAGCTATTTTCCACCCTGGACCAGATGGCTGTCCAAACTTTTCTTGAAAACCTCCAGCGATGGGGCACCCACAAGATCAGGAAGCAAGCTGTTCCACTGCTTAATGGTTCTCACCATCAGGAAATTCCTTCTTATTTCCAGGTTGGATGTCTCTCTGATGAGTTTCCAGCCCTTGCTTCTTGTCCTAACGTGAGGCGCAGTAGAAAATAAATTGATGCCCTCTTCCCTGTGGCAACCCTTCAGATCTTGGAAGACTGCTATCAGGTCTCCCCTCAGTCTTCCCTTCGTTAAGGTCAACATCCCCAGTTCTTCCTTTCCTTTAACATCTAATTAACCCTTACTTACTGAAAATCCAGCCAGGCAAAAGTCCCTGTTTTGTTTTTATACAAAGATATCCACACTAAAGGGGGAGGAAGGCTTGAGTTCAAACTTATTGAGTCTCCTAGTCAGAAGGAAGGAGAACCGTTTCCTACAACAGCAGTGTTTCTGTTGTACAAAGGGGGGGCTGTGACAGCTTTACCGCTGAGTAGATGGGTAACAAAATCCTAGAATCAAGGAGTTGGAAGGGGCCTAGAAGGCCATCAAGTCCAACCCCCTGCTCAAGGCAAGAATGCAAATCAAGGGAGATCTGCCAGGTAGTTGTCTAAGTTTCTCTTGACTGCTTCCAGAGCTGGAATATTCACCACCTCTTGAGGTAACTGGTTCCACTGTCGTACCGCTCTAACAGTTAGGAAGTTTATCCTGATATTCACCTGAAATTTAGCTTCTTGTAACCTGATCCCATTGTTGCATGTCCAGCACTCTGGAAGGATCCAGAACAGATCTTGCCTCTCCTCTGTATGACAGCCTTTCAAATATTTGAAAAGTGCTATTGTATCTCCCTTCAGTCTTCTTTTCTCAAGGCTAAACATGCCCAATTATTTCCATCTTTCCTCCTAGGGCTTGGTTTCCAACAACGTAATCATCCTTGTTGCCCTCCTCTGAACTTGCTCCAGTTTCTTGGCATCCTTCTTGAAGTGAGATGTCCAGACCTGGACACAATACTCAAGAGGAGGCCTAACCAATACTGAACAGAGGGGAACTACTTTTTTAAAAAACAAAAAAGTTTGTTTTAATTATGGGTGAGCTGCCTTGAGTCCCTTCAGTCAGAGAAAGCCAGCATAAAAATGCAATGCAATGCAATAAAATAACAAGTATTTATTAGAGTGAGGTGGCACACATTTTCCTTGCATGCCATGCCTTTAAGACCATCCCTTCCCGTTCTGCATCTTCTCATGCCATGTTTTGAAAACAATGAATGTTCTACCAAGCCAGACTAGTTCTATCCATCAAGGTGTTGTCCATATGGACCTGGACTTCTTTAACACTGCCCTTGCTGCCTTGTTCACCTCTCCTTCTTGGCAAAGGTATGGCCTCTACTTTATTTATTTATTTGTTTGTTTGTTTGTTTGTTTATATCCTGCCCATCCGGTATATTCCATCACTCTCGGCGGCTACACGGAGGCATATTTGCCCATCCCAATTACTAGCCACTGACAACCTGGTTCTCCTGCACCCCTTGGAAAGCCATCCAAGTGAGCAGCCATCATTACATCCCATGGTTGAACAATGCAATTTAACAAGAAAAAAATTTCCTTTGATTTGTCCTGAAATTCTCATCATTCAATTTCAGGGCATGACCCCACTGCATTGCATCTTCCTTCCGACTTTTCCCCCTTAACGTCCACTTGTCTAAGCTTAACAGCCCCCCACAATTTCCTACACTGGCTTCTTTACATTCAAGCCATGTAAAAATGCATAGAAATTTGCCACGTCATCTCACTATGATGTCTGAGGAAGTGGAGGTGATCCACAAAAGCTCATGTTAAAATGGAGCAGTTAGTCTTTAAAGTGCCACAGTGTGTTTGCCTTTTTTTTAATTTTCATTTTTCTTTCCGTTTCGGCCTGATTTTTCCTCCTAGAGGATTTGCTCCAACCGGTCATCTGGGTTGCCCTTTTTTGCACCACCTGTAGTGGGACTCGGATTGTGCATTTCATTCCACAGGACGATCTACAACGGCCATGCCTTACCGGTCAACAAGGAAGCTGGCAAGCCACTCCGCTCGCCCTGGGCATTTATTGAATTTACCGAAAATGAGTTTCTGCCTCTTCTCTGTTCACAACAGATAACCCACTTCTTGTTTTGAAAGAGGTGGCCACATTCATCTCCTTCTACAACAACAACATTATCACACCCCGATCTCTATTTCATCTTCTAGATGCACGCTGGAATTTATGCATGCACCCCATCACAGTAGTTTCCCTCTGATATTTAAGACATAACCATATCCATTAGAATTAGCAATCAGATAGCGTATTTTCCCATGTATAAGGTGACCCCCACTTTTCCAACCCCAAATAAGAAAATGTGATCACTGCTTTCCCCCTCCACTAAACCCCACAAAAGCAGGATCAAAGGGCTGCAGAAGTGGAGGGAGAAAGCAGTGATGAAAGGGCTGCAGGATCATAGGCAGCACCTGCGATCCTGCACCTCCCCCTTACTTCTGTGTATAAGACGACCCTCAATTTTTAGTCTAAAGATATTAGATAAATATAGTATTATACATGGAAAAATACGGTAAATTTAGCCAATGTATTTCTTGGGCATAGCAAAGCCCAGTGTACAGAAAGGTCTCCCGGTGACTCCTGGGGGGAAATGGCCATTGTTTAGAAGTGGAGACATCACACATCCATCCCCCCTCCTCTAGCAAAAATCAGCATTGTAAAACAATAAAAGTTTCTCTCCTGATGATCTGAGGGAAGCAAGAACATGACACTTAAAGACACAATCAGAAGTCCCAATCAGAACTTTTGCTTTGGGGTATATCTTGGGAAAGAGACTTAAGTCCCACAAAACAAATAGCCACTTAAATTAGCTTTTATCATCATAGAACTAAAAGGGACCTCTATAGACCATCAAGTCTAGCCCATCTCAAGGAGGCAGGATTTGAACTCCCAACCTCTGGCTCTAGAAACCTAAAACACTGACCTCTCCAGCAGCTATGGCCCACTGCGTGTGTTTTCTACATGCCTACTCCTGCATCCTTGTTTCCTTCCGACTCTCCTCGCATGGGCAGCTGTTGTGGACAGGAGTACTGACTGTCCTATGGCTGGCAAGCAGAAACAATCATTTTCCTGGAGCCTCCCCTTGTCCCTCTGTAAGAGGAACAGTCCCCATCATCTCTCACCAGATTCCTCCCAAGTCCGCTCCAGTGGCTCTGCCAGGCTTGCATGTTCCACACGGCACACGTAACGGCCCTCCTCCTCAGGGCCAACTCGGACGCTGATCCAGAAGTAGTAAGTCCCGTCCACATTGGGCGCAACGATCCCGTGGAAGGTATGTGCCTGCCAATCCCAGCCGTCCTTCTCCCAGGTCATTCTGATCATCACAGGCTCGAAACCGTAGGCTCGGCAGAAGAGTGTCTTGAAACCATCGCGCTCCTTAGCTTTCAACTCCACCTCGGGCCTTTCTGCAGAATGGAATGGGCACGTTTTCAGTGCAATCCCAGTTCTTCTCTGGAGGGATGGATCCTTGCTTGGCCGTCTTCCAAGTTGTGGGGAGGCAGTAGAGAAAGGGGACACCTTCGGGGGGGGGGTTCCTCTCCCTCAACTCTAAAGAAGTGCTCTGCAATTCGGACGCCCTGACCAGTCAACACAATGGTCAAGGGACTGTTCTGACTTCACAAATGGCAGTACACCTCCCAAGCAAAGGGAAAAGGGGCCGGGGAGGCAGAGAAAGGAGTGCTTCCATGGGGTGGCATCAAAATATTGTCCAAAATCCAACAGGATGGGGAAAATGGGAGAGGCCCACTGAATCAGTAAGTCAACTCCAACGTCAGTTCCACTGATCTAACGGGACTACTCTCCTAATAATAATAATAATAATAATAATAATAATAATAATAATAATAATAATAATAATAATAATAATAATAATAATAATAATAATAATAATAATAATAATAATAATAATAATAATAATAATAATAATAATAATAATAATAATAATAATAATAATAATAATAATAATAATAATAATAATAATAATAATAATAATAATAATAATAATAATAATAATAATAATAATAATAATAATAATAATAATAATAATAATAATAATAATAATAATAATAATAATAATAAAAAACAGTGTATCATCAAGTCAATTCTGACTTATGATGAGCCTTTTTCAGGGTTTTCCAGGTAGAGAGTACTCAGAAGGTGGTTTTCCCTTCTCTTCTTTTAGGGGCGCTCTGGGACTGCGCCGCTGGCCGAAGGCTACTCAGGCTGGCTTTTCTCTATGCGCACTGGGGGAATCGAACTCCCAACCTTTGTCTCCGCAGCCAGAGACCTCCATCACAAAAAATAATCTTAAAACTGCAGAGCTAGAAGGGACCCTTTGGATCATTGAGGCCAGTGCCTGTCCAGGTGGATCAGTGGGGAATCGAACTCCCAGCCTCTTTGTTCCTCCACTGCCTGCTGGTTCCATTCTGAGAACAGCAAAAAAAGGGAAAAGGCTGATCCTTTTCAAGGGTGGTGAACAGAAACTCCCGGTGACTTCCGTGGTGCATGTCACACATACACACAGAAGCCCTCTGTGGGTTTACACCAGGACAAACCTGCTTTAAGTCTGTTCAGAAAAGGCACTCTGCACATGATCACAGGCATTCAACTCACAGATGGAAGGACTCCTTGAGTGGAAAGAAGCCCGCCAGCCCACCCTCCAGTCCCCCCCCCTTAAGTACTGGTCTCCTGGAGGTATTTCTTGCCATCCTGTAGCCACCGGCAAAGAGTCTGTGGACAGCTCTCCCTTCGGTACACCTCCCATAGCTCGGTCATTTCCCAGATATCCTCCAAGGCCTTCCTGGGGAAAGTGTCCTGGTGCAGGCGGACGTCCCTCCAATCGTAGGCACACTTGATTAGCCATTCCGCCCCGCCATCTGTGCCCAGGCTGCAATTAGTGACGCACTGCAAGACGTGAATGGCTGGGCGAAACCCCCACCCCCCAAAAAAACACACACAACGTAAGTGGCATGGACCAAACGCTTTGGAAACAAATCTGGACCACTAAAGATGAGACTAACGAAGCACGCCGGAGGTTCTGGTGTGCAGTATATATACAGTATTTAACTTTCCATTGGTCATATTTACAGTGGTGCCCCGCATAGTGACGTTAATCCGTTCCAGGAAAAACGTCGCTATCCAGAAACATCGCTATACGGAAATGAAAACCCCATAGGAACGCATTAAACTCAATTTAATGTGTTCCTATCAGGGGTAAACTCACCGCTAAGCAGGAATCCGCCATAGGGCTGCCATTTTTGCTGGCTCGGTAAGTGAGGAATCGGCGCAAAAATGCTGCGGGCGGCCATTTTCTTCATCCGGCAGCCATTTTGGAACCGCCAATCAGCTGTTTCTAAAACATCGCAATGCGAAGATCGGTAAGTGAAACGCTTACCGATCATCGCAATGCGATGTTTTGACTATTTAAAACATCGCAATGTGATCGTAAAAACAATTGCAAAATCCGCATCGCTATGCGAATTCATCGTTAAACGGTGCGCTCGTTAAGCGAGGCACCACTGTATGTGTGTGTATGTGTGTGTGTGTGTGTGTGTGTATATATATATATATATATGTATATATGACAAATGGAAAACCACCTCCCGGTCCTCTTTTCTCTTTACAGGAGCAACGGACACCTCCTTTCTCCTCTTTCTACTCACCTGAACTTTGGTTGTAGAGCTTATTCAGGTGATACAAAGCCAGGCCAAAATATTCCTCAGCATCTTTCGCGTGATCGATCTCCCAGCGGTTGGTCTCGGAATCATTCTGCAAGAACGCTTGCACCCTGGGGAGCACCACCTCAACCGAATGCTTCTTGTTGTCATAGCGGGTGATGCGCTTGCCATCCAGGTATGTGGAGAGGATGAACAAGGACTGATCTGACTCTTTCATGTATGTGTGGAGTAAGGAATGGGAGGATCTTCCTGAAAGGGGCCACCGTGAGAACTGACATGAGGAGGAATACCTCTAAACAGGAGATTCCTCCACACACAACAAAACCACCCTCCATCGAGCTTAAAAGATGACAAACATTCCGTTACAGAGATCGGAATTGCTAGTAAAATTCCTTTTGCTATGCAATAGAAGTACAGTGGTGCCCCGCTTGACGACGATAATCCGTTCCAGCAAAATCGCTGTACAGCAAAATTGTTGTCAACCAAAAAATAACCCATTGGAATGCATTGAAAACTGGTCAATGTGTTCCAATAGGGGAAATACCTGCTTGTGCAGCAAAGATCCTTCATAGGGCGGCCATTTTGCGGTCCCTGTCTTACGGAAATAGGTCAGCAAAACAGCGGGGAGCCATTTTGCGAACCGCCGATCAGCTGTTTTTAATTGTCGTAATGCGAACAATCGGTTCACAAAAAAGGGACCTGGTCGTCGTGCAGCAAAAAAGCTCCATTGGAACCATTGTTTTGCTATCCCTATAGCGATCGCAAAAAAGCATCATCAAGCGATTTCGTCGTCAAGCGGGGCACCACTGTACAGAGACCAACAGAGAGGAATAGCTACAAGTTCCCCCACACAGTCCACCCCTTCCTCATTAACTGGCAGCACTTAAGGTCTCAATAACTCACTCTTGGGATACTGGTAGGAGAAAGAATAAAAACATTTTATTACTTACACTTGTGAACAGATCAACAGCAAAGAAATAGCAAACTGACTTCAAGAGAGGGGAAGAGACCACTCGGCAGAGAGGTGGGGCTCTCTTTGAATTTAGAGGGAGCAAAAAAATGATTGGTTGGGGCTGGAGAGCTTGAAAGGCCCCTCCCAATCAAACAAACTGCAGCATGTGAGGTTGTAACAATTCCGACACAGGGGTCCTGCCATTGGCCAGATGCCCCCAGCACAGCCACCGCAAAAAAATGATTGGTTGGGGCTGGAGAGTTTGAAAGGCCCCTCCCAATCAAACAAACTTCAGCATGCGAGGTTGTAAAAATTCCAACACAGGGGTCCTGCCATTGGCCAGATCCCCCCACCACAGCCACTAACCCTTCCAGCAGAGGTGCTCACCTGGGTTGATCCCCAACAGGGAGGCCGAAGCTGCGAGGAGGAAGAGGACTCCACAGGGCAGAAACTCCATCTGCTCCTCCTGCCCATTACTGCCCCATTTGTTCACTTACGGAGACAAAACTCTGGATTGGCTGATGGGGAGAATAGTCAACCAATAGGATGTGTAGAATCTAATGTCATCGTTCGTTTCTGGGTGGATGTCTTCTTGCTTCCTGGTGGTGGAGACAGAAAAGCCTCAATTGGGTGATGGGGAGAATATTTGGCCAATAGAGTAGAAAGGATCTAAGGCCATCATTCGTTGCTGGGCAGATGGCTTACCGGAGACCAGTTCGTGCCTTCCTGGAGGAGGCCATCTAGAAAAGAGCCTCGTGGCGCAGTGGTTAAATCGCTGTACTGCAGCCAAAGCTGTGTGCTCATGACCTGGGGTTCAAATCCCAGGTAGCCGGCTCAAGGTTGACTTAGCCTTCTATCCTTCCCAGGTCAGTAAAATGAGTACCCAGCTTGTTGGTGGTGGTGGGGAATCTGTAGCCTGCATAATTAACTTGTAAACTGCCCAGAGAGGGCTTGAAGTGCTATGGGGCGGTATATAAGCAGCACACTTTGCTTTGCTTTGCTTTGCTTTGCTTTGTAGAATGAAAGCCTGGATTGGATGAAGGGAAACCACGTGGCCAATAGCACCAAGAAACTCTTCAAAAATCTCTGCGGGGGAGATTCAAGGAAGGGGTGGACTGCATAACCCATCGTGCTTTGAAAAATAAAATACCCTAGAATCTTGAATTTAACCAAACTTGTGGGACAGGAAAAGAAGTCCGATTTTGTGCCATTCAGTTCCCCCAAGGGTTAAATGAACCAAGATCTGATTCGCAGAGAGACGACAGTACATGGCGTGCTTATTTATTTATTTATTTATTCTAAACAGAGAGGACGAGCCCGTCCGCCCCGGGCTTTTCTGCCCCTGGAAAGGAGGAAGAGGACGTGCAAAGGAGGAAAGCTGGTGTGAGAAATAAAAGAGAAGGGATGGGGTGAGCCGGCGTGCAACACCCGTGTGTGTGTGTTAAGGAATTTCAAGTTATTGCACTTGTTAAATCAGAAGAATTTAAAGTGCAGGGTCAGTAGACCCAGCGGAGGAAGAGGACGTGCAAAGGAGGAAAGCTGGTGTGAGGAATAAAAGAGAAGGGATGGGGTGAGCCGTGTACACGTGTGTACACGTGTGCAATGGGTCCCGGAGGGTTTTGTGCCAAAGCAAACATAGGACGCAGCTCGTGGGCCCATGTGACCTGGAAATTGAGAAGGTGGTGGTGGTAAAATGCATGTTTGCAGAGAGGAAATGGAGGACGTGCAAAGGAGGAAAGCTGGTGTGAGGAATAAAAGAGAAGGGATGGGGTGAGCCGTGTACACGTGTGTACACGTGTGCAATGGGTCCCGGAGGGTTTTGTGCCAAAGCAAACATAGGACGCAGCTCGTGGGCCCATGTGACCTGGAAATTGAGAAGGTGGTGGTGGTAAAATGCATGTTTGCAGAGAGGAAATGGAGGTGCAAGGCGTGGTAGCTAGCATCACAGAGAGAGAGAGAGAGAAAAAGTGTTTTTTTAAAATGTTATTTAACTTATGTGCCACCCACAGTACCCAAAGGTGTCTGGGCAGCTTGCAACAATTTAAATACAGTAAAAACATAAAAAGTTAAGGAACTTCAAGTTATTGCACTTGTTAAATAAGAAGAATTTAAAGGGCAGAGTTTAGCAGCTGTGCCAGTTAAAGGCAAGAAAAAGGAGGAGGATCTGTAGGAAGGCGAGTCTGATCTACTGTAACCTTCAGTATTTCATTGAAGACCGGGCTTGCCTTAAAGGCAGGACTTAAACTGAACTGAGAGGGGTTTTTAAATGGGCAGTAAGTGGGACAGGGGGCTCCAGGCAGAGGGAAATAAATATCCTCTCCTCCACCCGACACCCCAGCTCCTTTCTCATAAGGGCTTCGAAAAAGGGGTTTATCCCTGCAAGCCAGCTGCAATTCTTTGCATGTGCGCACAGACCCATCATCACTCTCTCCCTCCCTGTCCCAATGCAGAGGAAAGCCTGCTTGTCAGGATCGCAGGAGGCTTACGCCCTTAAAAGACAATATTGAAAAGCTAAAAATAGCAAGTATGCATATACTAAAAAGGGTTGAATAAATACCACACTAAACAAAAGCAACATTTGAAGCAGGTTCAAACGATGCCCAACTGAGCTCTTACTGTTTCTCAATTTTATTTTAAAGTCGTTTTTCTAATTTCCAAAAACGATTTGGTTATGCATTAGAGGGAATGGCCAAAGTGTGCTTGAAAAGCACGTACCAAATGTGTTGCTTTAACCACATCCCATTCCTAATGTTTGAGGAACAACCTTGCCCTTCATTGTAGTCTTTTTGGTGGCTCGACCCCTCCGTGGGTTGGAGCACCAAAGTGTCAGGAGTTCAAATCCCAGTCTGGGCCTGATGAGAGGAGATTGCTGCCCTCCTTCGTGGCTAATGGGAGTTAAAAGCCCTCTAGATGGCCTCGGGCAAGTCGGTTGATCCCAGAGGACCATCAGAAGGAGGGATGGGAAGCCATTTTTGATGTTGCTATTGTTGTTTTGGACATTTATCGCCATCCTCTCCGAACAGATATATCGACTCATAATTTAAAATGGAAAAATTAAAAAATGGAGCCAGATGCCTCTTGGTGAATTGATGGTCCCAGAAATGTAATTGCATAAATTGCAGCAGCAGTTTGCCGCCAATTAAAGAGTTACCACTCCTATTTGTGGCTGCTCGCCAGGTTCAGAGACAGGCCCGTGACCAGGAATCGTGAGTGGCAACTTGTTAATTCATAGCCATTTCCTGCCATGACACCTTAGGCCCAGTAGAGGATTCTGGCCAAAATCTTGATGAGAATTTTTTTAAATTAAAAATAAGCACAATTTTCTTTTTCTTCTTCTTCTTCTTCATCATCTTCTTCTTCTTCTTCATCGTCATCATCATCTTCTTCTTCTTCTTCTTCATCGTCATCTTCTTCTTCATCATCATCATCTTCTTCTTCATCATCATCTTCTTCTTCTTCTTCTTCTTCATCTTCTTCTTCATCATCATCATCATCATCATCTTCTTCTTCTTCTTCTTCATCATCATCATCTTCTTCTTCTTCATCATCATCTTCTTCTTCTTCTTTTCTGGTGACAAATGGCATTTCACTGCAGAAAGAGCAGCAACAAGATGAATTTCATCTGATTAAAGTCTTGCTACCTTGATTTCCCCTTTGGAATTTAATTGGGTGCGTTTTCCCAGCACAAGGACTAGGGCATGGCGCTTGCTGAGGGACTTTGAACTGGCCTGTTTCTTGAACCGAGCTACCTCACGAGGCTGTTGGGAAGGAGAAGAGCCACCTGGACCACCTTGAATGCCTCGGAGGAATGGAAATCTCCATCTCTACCGCCATCTTTCTGTTGGAGGAAGACAACAATCTCTCTGGCCTAAGCTCAGAAGAAGAAGAAAAATCAGCAGGTAACACCAAAGTTACGGGGTGGAACGTTTTCTTGCCGGCAACTTTGAAAAGGGCGTCTTTTAATGATTTCCAATTTCATCCATAGCTTGGAAATAGCTACAGTAGCCTCAAGTAATCTGAGTTCATGTGGCTAATGATTACTTTGGGTAATGACCGGTGTAACTAGGAGTTACAAAGTTACTTTTAGGAATGCTAATTAGTTAGTAATTTGTGGGTGGTGGATGTGGCTGGAGGTCAGGGGTTCAGCCAGGAGGAGAGCCAGCTTGGGGAAGCTGCACCGTCTCAGGGCAACCCCAGAAGGAGGGGGGGGACACACCTCCTCGGGAGGGATCGGGGCCCCAAAAGAGATCGCGAAAGGGGCAGGAGCCTGACGGGCCCTGCTTTCAACAGGTGAGGGGCAGGATCCCTTCGCTCCCATCTCTCCGGGGAGCCCAGGCTGGTCTTGCGGGGGTGGGGGTGGCAAAGGAGCTACAATGGAAGGAAAGAATTAGCTCCTTTGGAAGCCACCCCTCAAAAAAACTCCAGGAAGGCTGGGGGTTCCTCCCCTGGCAGCCCTTTACGGGGGTGTGTGTGGATGGAGTGGGGGCCAGAAAACAGCTGCCAGGGGCCGCCCCTCCCCAGCCTCGAACCCCCTTTCCGAGGATGCTCCAGGCGCGGCGCCTCGCCTCCCACGCCAGCTTCCCCGGGGGAGGACCCTTCCCCGCGCGATTTCTGCCTAGCGCCCGGTGACGTCACAAAGAGGGGCGGGATCCGCTCTCTTTTTCAGCAGGGCGCGCCCCCTCCTCCCCCCCCCCGCCCCGCCCCCCCCCGCGATGCACAGC